GGAGGAGTTCGATACCGGTTAGAGTATTCTCATTAAGATGTGTCTTTATGTTGTTTTACTTAGTGCTTAAAGCATTTTTAAAAAATGTAGAACCTGCCACTATCAGCTATTCTTCAGGAGTCTTTCATTCCCCTCTTGGTTACTATAGCTTCTTTTTAGACTGAAATTACTCCTGGCTCCAGATAAAGAGAGTTCAAGATTCTGTACCAATAAAGACTTTGCCAACTTCTTACTGAAGTTTCACCGAAGCCAAGGGAGGCTGTTACTAAAATTCAGGGTGTTTCCAAACCATTTGCATTTGTAAAGCCATCTCTTAGAGTGCAGTTTGCACAGAAGAAGTCTCCTAAATGATACGTAAATTCTCCATTTCTGCATGAAAGCTTCCTGTCCCTTCAACTACTCTCAGTCCTGGAGGCTTAAACAAAACCCCTCTCAGATTATTGTTAATGCTGTGCCTGATTCTACAGCAGCTGCTGCTTTGAACAAATGATGCTTCTCCTCCCCCAAGAGAAGCTGAAAATGCCTCTTTTGCAGCACTTTCCACCTTTGTGGACTTGGGGAGCATAAAAACAGACTGGGAGATGCGTCTACGGTTCTGTTTGGGAATTCAGGGCACAACTTAAAGACCATTGAGTTTAGCCACTTTCTGACACTGACTCTCATAGCAACAGTTTAATTTGGAGAAAAATCTGCTACCCCGAACGGCTAAAGGTATTTACGTGGAAAGTTTTCCAAATGATAGATAGACTCCGCTGTGTTGCTATTTTCTTTCTTGGTGAATTTGTGAGTGTTTGGCTCTCTTCCAGAAGTTTTTCTGCATCACTATGATCACTTCTTTTTAGGCAAAGACATTTTTCTATCCAAACAGGGAGAAGAAAGAGGCACCAAGAGCTCCCCCCTTTAAAGTGAATTACTATTTGAGTTTAAACCATGCCATCTGTAAAAATAGAGAATTTGAGTGTGTCTCCAGTTTCCTTAAATTTTCCTTGGGCAAATCTTTAAGGTAGTCAGAGTAATCCTGACCACTTTGGAGCCAGCTCCGTGCTTCCTTCAGCGCCGCCCTGTTTCTCCCTCCCCCCCCCCCCCATTTGCATCAGTGTCACTAAAGGAATTGTCTCCTCACTCTCTAGTCTCCACTCCTCTCTTCCTTCCTCGACTCCCACTAATTTTTCAGCTACCTCTCTACTGATTGCTCTTGTCAAGATCACCAGTGGCCCCCTGTTATTTAATCCAATGGCTACCTTGCATTACAAGGGATCTTTTCATAGCACTTGACATCACTGAACCCATTTCCTCTTCTCCTGTCCTGTTCTTAAATGCTGTTTCCTTGGGAATCAATCCTAGGCCAACTTTTCTTCTTACTGTACACAGGCACACCTTGGGATGTTGCGGGTTCGGTTCCAGATCGCTACAATAAAGCAAGTTTTTCAATAAAGCGAGTCGTAAGCTTTTTGCTGGTGGGGGTCTTGACTTCAATTTGTAAAATACGCAACATCTGCGAAGCGCAGTACACTGAGGCGAGCCTCTCTTCCTGACTGACGCCATCTGCCCCGTGGCCTGGATTCCACGCCACCGATCAGATTCCCCAACTACTTCTCCAGCCTAGAGGGCAGGCCTATGTCCAAATTGAACCTAATTCCTTCTCTGTTCCTCTTTTCTAAGTTTCCATTGTTAGGGAGGGACTCCATCGTTCACTGTGCAAGACAAAGACCTTAACTTCTCCCTCTCTCTCATTTCCCTTCTCCCATAAAATAAACTAACAATTCCTATTTATTCTATTTTCTACATAAATTTTAAACTCATGTCTTCTCCCTACCTCTTACCAGTATACCTCTCCCCCTGCCGCGGTTCAGGGAACCATCAGCTTGCATCTCAATAACTCTTTCTGGTCGTGCCCCTTTATCACATCCCCCATATCACTGGAGAGATTTTTCTGATCACCGCTTTTCCCTGATCAAAAGCCCTCATGCTTCCAAAGCCCCCACATTCTGGCCCCTCTCGCCTCTCCAGCCTCTGTTCCCATGACTCCCCACTTTGCATTGTTCATTTTGGGTCACATTGAATTTCTTTCAATTTTTCAAATATATAGGCTTTCTCACCTATGGCCTTTTTTTTTTTTTTTTTACCTGCCTGGAACATACTTCCTATTGTTTCCCCCTTTGGTGAATTCCTGCTTCATTTTTGGATTTAAAATTGAGTGCACTTCCTTTTGGATGCTCCCCTGAATGTTCTAAGCCTGCCAGAGGTGACTCTCGCGTAGCCCCTGTCCCATTGTCCCATCAGAGCAAGAGCCATCCTGCATCATAATCACCTGGGTCCTTGAATTCCCATTAGATTGTCACTTCTGGGAGGACCGGAGCATGGCTTTGGTGTTGAAATTCTATCTCCCGTGCCTCACACAGCGATTGATGCAGAGCTGACACTCAATATATATTAGTTGAATGAATGAGTGAGTCTCCAAGTAAACCATGGACCAGCCATTCTTACGACACAGGTTCAAAATGCCTTACTCTCATCTGCAATTTCTTCCTCACTAATCCAGTTCCAAAAGCAAACAAAACTTTGTTGCTGACAAAGCAACATATACATCCCAAAGGAAGAGAAACTTTCCCGAGGTTCTGAGAATTAGCATATGGTAATTGTGAAATCCCAGGGTATTTTTTAATCGAAAACTTCACAGTGCTTCACTTAGCTTGTACTCAGGGCTTAAATCGAGTAGAACCTCACTAGGGAGGTTGTGTCATGCCTCAGTGAAAGTGGAGAGTGAGAAATACAGCTTCCCCTGGCGTGGAGGCGTCGGAGAAAGGGAGCAATCTGGTCTGTGGGCCCTTTAGTCTGTGTGTCTGGCTGTACCAACTCCTGCTACGGGTGATGATGGGGAGAAGAGCCGCAGCCACCAAAGCGGCCCAGGATTTTCTTTTAAGTCCCATCCTGGGTTTTTACTACACAAGGATTTTCTGCGTGCCTCCCTCCTTCCTTCTCTCTGTGCTTCTGCCTCAGTGTCCGCCTCAGGAGCAAGCTGGTTTTAAGAGCTTTCCTCCCCAGAAGCAAATCTTCCTGGGGAAGACCTGGCTCAGCTGCCCACGCCGCCTTCCCGGGCTTCTCTTCACCCTTCAGTGGCCACGGCTCACTCTGTTCTAGCCGCCCCGAATTCTTCCCTTCTCAGCCTGTGACCAGGTGGGGCAAGCCAGGTCCCCAGGGACAGCACTGCAGAAGTCACCCACTCAGATGCCAGCCCTGCACTTGCTGGAGCCTGATGCCTCTTTTGACTCACCCTTGGCTCTCCGCCTGGAAGGCCGGCCTCCCCTCAGCCGTCACGCCTCTTGCCTCTCCCTCCAGCTCCTAACCCTCCAGCCCCAGCTCACACGCTGCCTCCCCATAAAACACTTGCTAACTCCAGGAGTCTTCTCCACAACCCAGCAAGTAGTCACCTCCCCTTTCCCCACATTCTCAGCGGCCTTATTTATGCCTGTCTGAAGGCACCGTTTACCTTGTTCAGGCCTTAGGGTTGCCTTTTTACCTCTATGTTAAACTACAAACTTCTTAAGGGCAGTCTTTTTCTCGGCGTGTTCACACGATCTAGCATAGGGTTTGACATGGCGTAAGGGTTCCTAAGTCAGTGAGGTGAGTGGAGCCATCAAGGGGGAAGAAGAAAGGAGCATATGTTGTTAATAGCACGGGGGG